ATTTAGGAAACGGGAAAGGGGCTATTTTTAGTGGCGAGGCGGGGGATGGGGACCGAAGCGACAGGGAGCCTCGAGGGGAAGGAGGGTGATCGAAAGCCGGATCGAGTAGGGGGAGCCCGCGCCCCTGACCTGGCCTACAAGGGGTTAACTTTCCGGAACTGCGGATTAGGGGGCTGAGGAGGATAGAGGATAGTGCAGCGGCCTGGTGCGTGTTTATGACTCCCCTTCCGGAGTTCTGTTATCCTGAGGACTCAGTCCTCCCAGCCCGGCCTTCGGGGGTCCTCATCCCCACTCAGTTCCAAGACCCGACGGTCTGCGACATCTCAGGGTGCCACGCGTCGGTGTCATATCCCGCCTGGTTACTGTCAGATTGTCTCCTTCTCCTGGGGGGCATGGCGAGGAAGCTGGAGACCTGAGGGGTCTAGGACATAGCTACCCTGTAGCGTCCAGGGGGCCCCAGGGAAGGAGAACCCATGAATCTTGGAAGATTTTGGTGTAGGAGACGGGTGGGGGACCAAGTACCAGGCAAGTTGAGGAGGGTGGAGGGAGGGAGCTGGGGCAAGTGTCAGGAACACAGGGGTCAAAGGCTAAGCAGCCTCAGCAGAGGAGAGGACAGATTGGCAGTGACCACCTCTGGCATCTAGGGGCCACCTCAGCACTAATTTGTGGAATAATTAGCAGAGCTAGGCCAGGCATGGTGGCACATGCTTGGAATCCCAGAGTTCTGGGAGTCTTAGGCAAGAAAATCACAAGTTCCAGCCTAACCTGGGAATTTTAGCGACTTAGACCCTGTCCCAAAATTTAAAATAATGATAATGATTTTTATTTATTTATTTTTAATACCAGGGATTGAACTCCGGACCTAGCACTTGCCAGGCAGGTGGTGGCACCACTGAGCTACATCCTCTGGCCAATAATAATTTTTAAAAGGACTGAGGATGTAGCTCACTGCAAATGTCCTGGATTCAGTCCCCAGTACCCCCACTTCAATTGGCACAACTCATATGAGTGTGAAGGAGATCAAGAGCCCAGCAATTTGGCAGAGGAGGGTCCCCAAGGAGTAGTGGTGTTTCCTGGGGGAGTTGAGACCATGCCAAGTGGGGCAGAATTCCTCTGAAAAATTTTGGGGAGATGAACAGTTAGGTCCACCTACTTCTATCCCAGGGCTCTAATTGGGGAAGGAATGTGCAGACAGGGAGAGAGAAAGAGAAAAAAGGAGAAAGAGGAGGAGAAGTAGGAAGAGGAATGGGGGAGGGGCAGGGGCGGCGGAAGCAGCGCCCCGCTGGCCGGTGGAGGGAGGGAAATGTGGAAGAATGGGGTCTACTGGAGGGCCAGGCAGTCCTGGCGCTTCTACTGAGCTGGCGCCAAGACTCTGAGACCATCCTGGTACAGATGCAATGAAGACTTCAGGGTAGGGTAGGGCAGTGTGTTCTCTTGAGGAATGGACCTGGGACAAGTGCTGATGAATAAAAACAGAGACCCTGAGCACAGCGGACCCTAGAGTGGGCCAGCGGTGGACAGATCCACTGCACAAGACACGCAGGGCCGGGATGATCTGACCCAATCAAAAGGAAAAAAATCAGATGAGGTCAGAGAGGCTCTGCTTTCCTTAGGGACTTCGCCTCCTAGAGGACGCCCTCCTTTGCCCCCAGCCTTTTTCCTACATCTCTGTTCTCTAGGAATGCCTTCCTACCCTGTGGGGAGAGATTTCCTATTCGTCTGTCAGAACCCAGCTCTAAAGGCACCCCCCCCGCCCCGTATCCAGAATGAACTCAAGACCTTGCACTTGCCAGGCAGGGGCGGCGTCACTGGGCTAAATCCATGGCCGTCTAAAGGCTCTTGTGAGGAGCTTTCTTGTTCTATCTGACGCCTCATACACTCACCTCACTCGAGCTCACCATTTTCATCTTTGGGACCTCATTACTTCTGTAGCAAGGACTCCGTGGGGAGGGGGATGGAAGGGAGGAAATGAATAAAATAAATCCGGAACACATAGCGGAAATAGGGTGAGGGACGGACTCAGGACGCGGCGGGGGTCAGGCCCATAGGCTTGGATCAGAAGCCACCGTCAGGCACCAAATCTCTGAAACAATGCGAAGGTTCTCTGAAACAGAATGCGAAGGAAACAGAGCCTCTGGGGGGCGCCCAAGACCTTGGTGTCTGTTAGGAACAGCTAGCAGCCGCTCCAGCCGCTCCTCGCCGAGTGACTCAGCCACTACCTCTGGCGGGGACGTGGGGGCCCGAACAGTACAGGGGGCGGTGAGCTCAGCCCCCGCCCCCCCTGCCGCTCTGTGCAGTTGCTAAGCTCTCCAAGGCCTCGGAGAGACGCGATCTGGGCGAACCTCATCGGTTGCCATAGTAACTCTGCGCCTCAGCCTCTAGTGCTTGGCCACAGAGAGAGATACGGCCAATCAGAATCTGTGGGTGTTTTCGGGGACCCTCCTCGTTTGTGGGCGGGGGTCAGGAGGTACGAGGAGAAGGCGACGCGGTGCTTGCAGTAGTCAATGTGCCTACTCCCCCGCGCGCGCGGGGGCACTTCCGGAACAGCACTGGCGAGCTGGACTGGGTCCCCTCGCTCCCAGAAGAGGCATTATTCGCAGGAGCCCGGCTTCCACGTGGGGTCTAGGACCTTTTGGGGGAGTCCCAAGCCGCAGGCGCTCCTGTCAAGTTTCTCTTGGGCGGGTGGGTTGGAGAAAAAGTCACTTCCTCAAGGTTCCACATAACAAGTCACACGGGGAATTCTGGGCTGAGCGCTGCCTAGCCATTTTCAGTCGAGTGTCCTGGGGTCCCAACCGGAGAGCCACAAGCTCAGGGCGAACTGTCTGGTGACACCTTTGCCCAGGTTTATGGGTGGGGTTAGCTCTACGTGGAAGCCCCTGGATTATCCCTGATATCTGGGACTCGGGAGGGGGCGAGTGTCTGTGTGAACCGGGGGCCAGCGAGTGTCACTGCCTGGATAATGCCTGTGTGCAGAGGAATCTGTGCTGTGCATACCTAACACGTGTGTTTGACGGCGGGCGTGTTGGGGAGCAGGTCCAAGTGGACAGTAGAATCCAGAAATGTATCTGACGAGTCCCCCGATATCTGTCTTCTTGCTTGAGATTTCCATAACCTTCCTCTCCTCAGTCACCTACTGTCACCATAGTCCCCTCCTTGCGAGCAGGACTTTTCCGAAGAGGGGCTCTGTAGATAGAATATGCATACTTGAGCACTCAGCTCAAAACCCCAGGGTTTTTGGGATTCGCAGTCCAATACCTGGGTCCCCAGGTAGGCACATCTGGAAGAGTGAACCTGCAGATAACTCTCCCGCCCAGCTACGCTTCTGCGATCGAGCAGCCCAGGTGCGCGGGAGGGAGGTCGTGGCCCTGCTGCGCAGAGTGACGCGCTGCCGCAAGGTGGCGCCATAGTCGTAGCAGCGCCTGCCTGCTCGGGCCGCTCCAGATAAGAGTGTGCGAAAGCGCGGCTGGGCTGAGACGCGACCAGGACGCGGGGAGGACGGACCAGCAGGACAAACCGACCGGGGGCCCGGCGGGC